CAGCACTGATGAACCACATAAACATACTGGTTGGCTCTGGACCTCCATGCATCAACTCATTACCAAACATACTACTCCAGAGGTGAAGCACCACATCACCCTAATGTCCCAAACCCTCTACCAAATGGCTGCCCAACTCAGTGAGTGTGTGGTTTACTGTGTCATCTCAGCTCATACTCAAGGAATCCCCTTTGAGAAACTGGAAACCGCAGGGGCACTTGAAAATTTAACAACTGGGATCTGGATGTGAGCAGGATAAATTGTAAGGGATGTGTTACAGGAATGGGTTCTGGGGAACCCAACCTGAGCCGTTCGGCTCACTAATGGAGGTGGCTGCATAGCCATCGGAGGGAGAGCGGAATGGGATGAGTGTCTGGAAGTACAACCTGTGGGTTGGCCAACGGTAACTTGGCACTCCTGGGAGCGTACCGGTAGCAAGTATGATGTGGGCTCCTTGAGGGAGCCACCTGGCTGTCTGCTAATGGGGACTTGGCGCTCCTGGGAGCATGCCGGTAGTGGGTGTGCTGGGAGTGGTTGGCTAGCGGTGACTTGGCGCTCAATGGAGCATACCGGTAGTGTGGGATACTGGGACTCCCAAAGGGAGTCACCCAGTTGGTGGCTATCGGTGACTTGGCGCTCATGGGAGCGTACCGGTAGCAGGAGTTGTTGGGGAAAGCGGGCTGGTGGACCAGTGCACGGTAGTGGGTGACCGTGGGAAGTGGGACCCGCAGGTGCGTGGCCAGGCATCCTGGAGCTGCCTGGACCATATCCCTCTCCTAAGGAGGTGGGATAGGCTACAGTTCCTGATAGGGAACTTCTGGTTGGATGGGAGTGACTGCTCAACCACCCGGTGGACTGGTGGGTGTCAGGGCACACACCCTGACTAGCCCGGACCCGGACCCGCGTCCGGACCCGCACCTGGACCCGCATGTGCGCCTCCACCCTGCACACTCCACGTGCCGCATGCTCCGGGCCCGGTTCCTACCCTTCATGTGACTTCCGGGTATCCCCGGAAGTTTTCACCATATTGGGGCCACTGTGGGAAAGTGAGAAGTTAACCTTCTTCTCACTTTCTTACCCACAGTAGGCAAGTGTAGCCTACTTCCTATTTATCTATACACTTTCTTACCCACAGTAGTGTTATGCCCTGAGATGGGCTGCTGTTACAGGTTAGCCTGTGGGCCATAGAGAGGGGTCATGGGGACCTGGGCAGCAGGAGGTTGGGTGTGGGAATGCCCTCCTCATTGTGGTTTTGTCATGGAGAGGATGAATAGGGAGGTGGACATGGTTCTGAGGTTACAGGTTGAGTTTACAGTGGTGGCACAATGGTGAGGATGTTACAATTGCAGTACAAGGTTTGTGGGTTATGTATTCGATAATGATCAACATCCTTGGCATTTGCCTTTACATGTCATATGACTGGTTTCTATCTAATATCAAAGTCTCAATGGTCAAGGGAAGTCCCTTGAAACTTAACAATTCCCCCAGCCAGCACCAAAACCCAGTGGGAAAGCTTGGCATGGAGTTTGACAGAGAAATATAATGAAGGAGGGCAGAGACAACCTACCTACTTGCAGTCACGGACCATAAGAATCTAGTCCATCTCTATAACAGGATGGGTGGTAGAGTGGTGATGTGTGCTTTGCGCACTTTCTTTATTTGTTCTTTATTCTTTGTATACAATGTAAAATAACTGTATTTACATATGTATGGCTCGGTGTTACAGGAATGGGTTCTGGGGAACCCAACCTGAGCCGTTCGGCTCACTAATGGAGGTGGCTGCGTAGCCATCGGAGGGAGAGCGGAATAGGATGAGTGTACGGAAGTACCACCTGTGTGTTGGCCAACGGTAACTTGGCGCTCCTGGGAGCGTACCGGCAGCGAGTATGGTGTGGGCTCCTTGAAGGAGCCACCTGGCTGTCTGCTAACGGGGACTTGGCGCTCCTGGGAGCGTGCCGGTAGCGGGTATGCTGGGAGTGTTTGGCTAGCGGTAACTTGGCGCTCGATGGAGCGTACCGGTAGTGAGGGATACTGGGACTCCCAAAGGGAGTCACCCAGTTGGTGGCTATCGGTGACTTGGCGCTCATTGGAGCGTACCGGTAGCGGGAGTTGTTTGGGAAAGCGGGCTGGTGGACCAGTGCACGGTAGAGGGTGACCGTGGGAAGTGGGACCCGCGGGTGCGTGGCCAGGCATCCTGGAGCTGCCTGGACCATATCCTTCTCCTGAGGAGGTGGGATAGGCTACAGTTCCTGATAGGGAACTTCTGGTTGGATGGGAGTAACCACTCAACCACCCGGTGGACTGGTGGGAGTGGGCAGCAGGAGGTTGGGCGTGGGAATGCCCTCCTCGTTGCGGTTTTGTCATGGAAAGGAGGAATAGGGAGGTGGACATGGTTCCAAGGTTACAGGTTGAGTTTACAGTGGTGGCACAATGGTGAAGACGTTACAATTGCGGTACAAGGTTTTTGGGTTATGTATTCGATAGTGAGAAAGCATTTTTCGGCATCTGCCTTACACATCATATGACTTCTAACTATCTAATATAAAAGTCACAATGGTCAAGAGAAGTCCCTTGAAACTCAACAAATTCCCCAGCCAGCACCAAAACCCAGTGGGAAAGCTTGGCATGGGGTTTGACAGCGAAATAAAGGTGCAGGGACCAAGGGTTTGATTGTTCATAGTCACGGACCATAAGATTCTAGGTCCATTCCTATAACATCGCCCCCCAGACTCTTATGGGCCAGTGTGACAGCCATGTTAATCCTCCAAGAGTCCTGATTCCCAGTGCTGAGGAACAGGTGATGGGGGTGGTGAGTCGGAGGCCCGGACCTGGCCCACATGATTGTTGCATGTCGTGAAAACTGGCAGCCCTTAGTCTGGGAATGGTAGTCAAAGACCATCCTTGTAAGCGTGGTCCTAGCCTTCCTCCAGCTCCAGTCCAACAATTGGCTTGGGCATCATGATATCATATTAGGATAGATATGGAAAACCATGTGTCCAAGGGTCACAACATCCATCTGTGGTCCAGCTTGACGACTCAGTCCGGAAATGCAGCGCATCCTGCTTCCATGCGGTAATTCCCCTCCATCATGCAGGATTGTGTTAGGATTAATATGGATGTTGGTCAGATAAGGTGAGTCTACCGGACCGCTTAACAACCGGATCAGTCTAGCTGCCGGTGGTGTTGCATCTCAGGGGTCCACCCTTTTGGGAGACGTCGGGGGTGTTTGGGATCATTCAGCAGGTGGGGTACACTCGTCATAATTGCCCTGCTATGATAGGACCAACAGCAACGCCATTCCCAAACACAATGGCTCGGAGGCAGTCCCCGCATGATTGGAAACCTGGGTCATTCATCTCCTCACCCGGCCCGCATATGAGTTAGGTCTAGAAGTGTCAGTATCATCCATTTGGCGAGAGGGGTTCACTCTGGAAATCGTCACGGGACAGTCTGATTTCGTAACACATCTTGCGGTGGACCCCTCCAAGGGTGAATGATCGGCTCGGTGCTGCTAGGTGGGAAACTTCCGCACAGGGTAACGATGTAGCCTTGGTGTACTGGAATGGATGTTTCGAATTCGTGCGCGCCGATGGGTGTTCTAGATGAGCTCGGAGCGCTAACCTCGATTTCAGCCTCGAGGTACCATCCCCTGGTACCGGAACTGGATTGACGGTGGGCACTCGGGGTGGCAACTAGGATGATTCAGGCTACAGCATCGTCCCTCATGGATAAGGCCATCTGAACCGGTCCGGGTCTTCATTTGCGATGGTCACCAACTTGGCGGGTCAAGCCATAGCTTTGGACGTGGGAAGTCCCCTCCACTCTGCACTTAAACCGATAGACCGTCGTTGGCGGTAGTGCCGTTGATGCGAGTGCAAGGATGCAGAAGGTTCACGTCGTACGTACTCGTGCCCTCTGCGGCTGTTACTGGCGTTGGGTGCGATCGACAACCTGAAAGGCCCCAGAGGAAACGTCCCAGGCGCAATTCGAAACCTGATTGAGTGGTGCCAGCCATCCGCAGGTACCACGTCTCGATAAGGCGACCAAGCTGGCGCGGGGACATAGTGGCATGTTCAGGCGCCGTGAGTCGGTAGACGACAATGGCGGGCGCAGTCAATCCTTTCCGGAGATCGCTTCGGGTGGGCAACGCGTTGAGGGTGTTCCCTGACCCGAAGCTCCAAACTGTAGCGGTGCGTGTGTCTCTCTTTGTCGGCGCATAACCTTGTAAGTATCGCGCTATAGCTCGCGAGTGAGCCTGGGCATATGTCGACTTTGACGGGAATGGTGGAATCAGAAAGCTTAGTGCCAATCGCGCTGGCATTGGGACGGGAAGTTGACAGCCTCCAACGCCGGGAGAGACAGGCGGTGTCGAGTGGTTGGGTTAGGGATGCCTGGTGAAATCGAGCACGGAACCGCACCGCCAAGAAGGCTTGGCAACGACCGGGTTGGGTGCGAAGATACGCGTACGGTATGGGGGTTAGCCTCCATGGGAGGGTGACGACTGGTGGTTTGGAACTCGATGATTCTGGTCGTCATTGAGACTGCAACGTAAAAGCAAGCCGAGACTGCTGGTACTGGATCCAGATAGAGAGTAGCATTTGGTCGGCGGATTGAGGGTAGCCAACTGAGCTGAGGTCAGTCGAAGGTGTAGGTAGTTCCCCTCCGCGACCAGAAACATGGAGGTCACCGTCGAGAATCGTAATCGTTGACTCCGATACAACTGGACCACGCTGCGAGCTCTAACTCCCCTCCCAATCGCTGATGCTACCCAGCGAATTTCGATCAGCCATGGCTGCCTTCAAGCGTTGGGAATGAGTGCAGAGAGGGAGCGCTAAGAGGCGCTAAGAGAACAGGGATCGGGAATTTCGAAACAAATAACAGTAAATAGATTCGCTGGACGCGCGCGCCTCTTCCTTCCGGCATCGGCCCAATATGGGGCTGAGGCGGAGACCAAGGGCCTCAGAGATAGCTTGGAGGGAAGGAAAGGGAGACATGTCTGGTTAGTACTCTAACCCCGAGCTGAATCTTTCCTCCTTTGCCTTTAACGGGTGCCATGACAGGGCGTCGCTGAAGGCTTGTCTAATGCAAGTCTCACTTGGGGCGGTCCTCTGGCAGAGGAAATGGTTTTCTGGAAGCCCGGTTATCGAACCTTGGGGGCTTGACTTCTCTCCACCTGCACTGGGCCGACGCGACTGAACGGAGGGTGAGTGTGCAAGGACACGGGAGGATTGTGTGGGTTCGGGAGCCAGTCGAGATGGAACAACCGCACAGCGTGATACTCGGAAGTCAGAATGGGCCAGGCTGTGAAGCGAGTTCTCCCGTTTGATCAGATGATGAGACCATCCTAGAGGGTGCAGTAGGACAATCGGATTCAACTGATCTGACGATGCGACTGTGGACTCGGGGGCAATTGAGGACGCAGAGATAAATAGGCAGTTGACCTGTAAAAGATGCCACTGCGTGCCTCTGTGAGCCAAGGCGACGGTTTCTCTACCGGGGCTCGTGCTCGCGCGGCAATGCAGAGTAGTACTTAGTCTGCCAGCGGGGAAAGGGACAACTTGTATCAGGATACTACCGTTGCCGATCTTATAATGCCATATAAATGATCTTGACCTCGCGTTCGCACAGCTCCGTGCAACACGTAAGTCGCCAGGCTCGGGACGACCTGAGACCAACAATGGGGCGTAGAAGCTCTTCCTAGGTTCATCCTTGGTCGGACCCGGCAAGTAACTAACCATGATTACGGTCTGGACGAGAACCTGTATTGCAGTGAGGAACACCTTCGGTTTGGCACGACAGATTTTCAAGCGGCAGAACTTGGCAGCTGGATGTGCCGCGTATGATGACCACCGCCATGTCTTTGAGGTGAGGTATACCATATGCGGCGGGTACAGCCTCTCACGAGGGTGGTGCCATGACGGCGCTCGTGTTGTACCTGCCATTTCCAAGCACGATGCTGTGGCGTATATCCATTTGGGAGATCCGACACATGACCTGGGCAGTTGGGCCTGGAGTGACCCTATGCGCGACAGCTCAGGCTCTGGCTGTGTCCACGCTTGTGAATGTGATTGCTCAGAGAAATGTCGCGCAGGAACGGTCAAAGTGTCTGATGGGTCAAACGAGGGTGTCGGCTCAAACGTGTGACGAATCAGATTACCCGCCGATTCCAGAGGACAGCAGACGGGTACTACCGATGGATCCGATTGATCGTGCAAGGGTGATCTGACCGTGTGTTGTGCTGAACTGACAGGTCGCATTACCAATGGCGTACAAGCCACAGGCAGGCTGTACGGTCGCGCCAGCTCAGGAGGGTGGTGTCCTGTCTCAGCGGGAGGATCTGAGTGAACATGCGGGGATGCTGATTCAGATGCCTGCCACATCGTCCCGGTGGAATGCACCGAGTCCGGTAGATGGACTAACGACGGACAACATAGCCCATGCAGGCGTGCTAGCCCAAGAAGTCGACAAGCAGGGACAACTGGAGGATCCGACCAGTTGTGAGAGGACATCAACCGGGTCACAACTATCGATCGTGTTGCCACTGAGTGGAGAGACGACCGCATGGGAGCTGACTCGAGAAAGGAGTGAGTGGGAACGGACGGAGAGCCTGCCTTAATCGACCGTCCAAACACGACTGTACGATGTGGAGGACACGAGCACTCGGGCTTGAGAGAACCAGAAGAAAGAGCAACTGGGCAATCCATCTGGGCAAGTAAAAACGTCGATCCGGCCACAAGACTCGTCAAGCTAACGGTGTACGTCGCGCTTGATAGTTCGCCTGCCCCTGAGCGATCTGGTACGCACAGGCGTGCCAGCTGGATGATACGGCGCGAAGAATCGACCAGAGGGTCCAGCTGGAGGAACGGATCCCAACCGTCGATGAGCGAGGTGATTGAGAGATGACTGCTCTTGACGTAAGAGGCAGGGCATAACCGCGTTAGCGTCATAATCTGGGTTCCACCCAGATGGGAGTTAATCGCATGGGTTCCGCAGTTGGGATTCTTGTCAAGTGTCGGGACCCTAATGAGGATGATAGACTGTCCTTCGACCTGAGTGGGATGGTGACCAGGATAAATACGGTACGCATCAGTGCCAACGGATTGCGTGGTCCTTTGACACATTGGACCACTAGGGTGCGTTATGATCGGTGAATGTGCCACTGCTAAGCGGTGCGGCACGTGCCAGCATGCTATCACAAATGAGGGATGCAAAGGGGTGACTGGACGGTTTGACGTGCCGATCTCGTGGCCGGGACCTTTGTTGAGAGTCGGATCACCTGGTGGTCTGCTCGGGCACGCCAACTTGAGAGGTCGACGTACGGGAGAGGCTGGGAGATCCAATTGGTCCTGCGATGACATCAGTTTAGTTGCATAGTGTGCCAGGTCGATAGAGCATGTCGTGGTTGGTGTGTATGCTGCTGGAAGGCGACACAGCACATGCAGGCACGCAGGCTCATGCGTGGAGCGTGAAAGGATGACCGGCTGATCTGGCGACGACATCGGTTCAATCGATGGATGATGTGAAGGGTTCACCAGAGGATCCAACCGGGCCGGCAAAGACAGCAGTTCGTGGATCCAACCGTCAATGGGCGAGGTAATTGGGGAATGGCTGTCCTTGGCGTCAGCAACATAATCTGACCACCTTAGTGTCATAATCCGAGTTCCGCCCCGCTGGGGATTACGCACGTTGACTTCGCGGCTGAGAACTTTGTTGAGAGCCTGAACATTAATGCGTGCTGAATATGCGATTGCTTGACCCGTCGAACCGATGTAATTTGTCACCATTGACGATCCAGCGCTGGCTGGATGGTGCGGATCATACCAGTGTCCCAGCTCGTGAGGACGACGTAAATAAGCTGCCGGAAGGCCTGACAGAACAGGCAAGAGTGATGGGTTGATAAGGAGCCTCACACTCGGCGGGTCATCAGCTAAGGAAATTGACGACTCGGGAGTACGGTGCGGAACAACATTCACAGGGACCAGCTGGGCCTGCGAGGGCGCCAGCTTGATTGCATAGCATAGAGCTAGCGATAACATCGAATTGACGGCACGGCATGCTGGACTGATGTAGCGCGTCCTACTCGATGGAGAGGTCACATCCGAGCCATGCGACTCATGTGGGTTCCACGAAGATGTGACCAGGCGACCCGGTAGTCCAGTTAACTTTGGTTCGACTAAGCAACGTGACGAATTAGAGGTGAGCATCGCCCTTGATGAATGGGCCATGACTGGACGAAACTGCTCGATCAGTTGTGCTGGCTCAAGTGCGTGCCGCATAGGGATGACTGCTCGACAGATTGCCACTGGGCAAACCAACACATGCGAGCACGATGGTTCGAGGAGGCAATGCGAGGACATGGCTGGTGGATCCGATTGGGTAGTCGGCGGTGTCAATTTGACAACAAGACATGTCATGGCGCGTTCTGAATCCCGAGGGTGATGTGGAGGCACGACCAGAGGTTCAGGCAGGACAGGTAGCAATGCCTGGTTGGCAGGGCAGTGCCTCAACTTGATGGCGTGTGTCACGGCTGATAAGCCGGTGGAGACTGGGCTGCCTGGCTCGTTCGAAACCGCCAGTTCGAGCGGGTGGTCTGCATGTGTCAGATCGGACAGGCACCGTGAAGAACCAATAACGTAACCCCGCTGGTCAGACAGTGATTTTAGCCCGGCCATGGTAGACACCGAGCTGGCTGAGTGCATCTTAGTCAGTGATTGGATGGCATCTGAGCGATTTGACTCATTCAGGCATGCCAGCTCTGAAGAGCACTGCATTGGGACAGCCGGGCGCTCCAGCTTCGATGAACCGGCTAGTCGACCCGATTGAGCAAGCAAAGATGACAATTCAGTCGAGTGGTGCACCGAGCTAGTGGAGTGAGTCGCGCTCGATGGGCGGGACACATCTGTCGTGCTTGCTGAACGGCTTGTAGCTGAGCAATGCTGTCCAAATGAGGACGCTGGCCCAAACGAACGTGAGGAAGCAGCTGGCAATGACGACGATTCAGACTTGTGAAGTGTCGAGCTGAAGGAGTGTGTTGTGTTTGACAAATGATCCACAACTGAGCGCTGCAACGAAGCAGCCAGTTGATCTGCCCAACAGGCTGTGGCTGAGCGAAGCGACTCGTCGGAACGTGTCCGCTCGGGTGGATGCCGTGAAGGGCCGGTTGGAGATCCCAGCTGGATTGGCAATGGTATCGGCTCACCCATATGACACATCAACCTGACCGCGTACGTTGCAGTTGAGGCGGAAACTGAGCTCGATGGCTCGTCCGAGCATGCCAACTTGTGTGGGTGCCACGAGGGTGTAGCTGGGTGATCCAACTGGACAGTTGGGCACTTAAACGCCGCGTGATGCGTCAAGCTGGAGATGTGTGAGTGTATTGGCTCAGGCAGACACCGTGAGGGACCAGTAATGGAACCCAACTGGCCAGATTGTGATGTTAACTCGGCCACGGAAGGTGTCAAGCTGATTGGACATGCCAGCTCCGATGAACGTGGCACCAGTGGGTGCTGCGCAAGATCAGACAGTCGGTCCATCTGGATAGTCGGGGACCTAGATTCCGCTATGTACCGTGTCGAACTGGCAAGGTTTGTTGCGCTTGATGTGCAGGACGCATCAATCGGGAGGTTTGACTGAACCGACAAGGACAACGGTTCAACCTGGCGATGTGAAGGGCCAATGGATTCCATCACGCTTATTGGACGGTCCGCAACTGGACAATGCCTGAACGGGAACTTTGGTCTAAGCGATGAGACAGCTGGTCGATCCAATTGATCAGCAAGTGATGCCAGTTCGACCTTGCGACAGATTGGGCTAGCGAAGCGCCTCGCGCTTGGTGCATATGCCACAACTTGACGAAGTTGTATTAACGGGCATGCCCGCTCAAGCGAACCCTGACATAAAGCTGCTAGCTGGTCTGACTGCTCGATCGGAGGTAATGATGCAGCCACGCGATGCCTTGAACCGTCAAGGTGTGTTACATTCGACAGACAGGACACATCTGGACGGAGCAATTCATGTATGTATGATGGCTCGGGTGAATGTTGTGAAGGAACAGATGGTCGGTCCATCTGGATGGTTGGAAGCGCCGGGTCCACTACGAGCTGTGTCGAACCGTCAAGGTGCGTGGCACTCGACAGATGGGATGCATAACGTGAAGGGCTGATAGTGCCCGTTGAGCTTGTTGAACGGTCTGCAGCCAGCCGAGCCAACTGAGCAGCCAGTGACATCGATTCGGCCTTGCGACAGGTTGAGCCGGTGAGGTGCCCCGCGCATAATGAACCTGCCACGCTTGGGCGAAACTGCACCAATGGATGTGCCAGCTCGAATGAGTGTTGCGCAGGAATGGTCATTTGACGAGACTGGGGTATCGAGCTGTTGCAGCGTTCTGTGCTCGATGTACAAGCTGCAACTGTGCCATCTGGCGCTGAGGACGGGTGTAGTGAGGGCAACTCCAATTTTTCTGCAGCGGGCGGGATCGCAATGACCTCAGGTGTGCGAGGTCGTACTGGTGCCAATGAGGGGTCGGTTGTGATGAAACGGGAGCTCGCTGCTCGGGACTGTGTGAGGGCGAGGACCTCCTTAGCATGTTCAAAGTGCAGAACAAAGTCAGCTAGTTTTCGCTGTAGATAGCTCCAAATTCGATGTAAGGTGCTTAGCTCGGTCCAGCCTGACGTGATCAATGTGGAGTAGACAATCCGTTCTGGATCTGCCTTGAACGTGGCACGGATGAGGTCGGAACCGGAGATGGTTTGGGTGAAGTGGTCCATCGCACGAAGGATTAGGGTCAGCTGTTTACAGCGCTCGTCAATGAGACAGTAGGAGGTGGAGGAGCCTGTAGTCAGTTTATGGAATGGCTGAACCTCTATGTTGTCTGGGCCCAGCCGTTGCCATTCACGTAGCATGTCCATAGGCGCGCGCTCATAATAGAATCTCCGTGGTGATGAAAACTTGTCTAGCGCACGCTTTAGTGGGATAGTGGAAAACTGATAGTCTGAGTTGACAGTGCCTAAGTTAGATGAGTAATCCTCCTGTGTGTGAGCTCGAGGTCGCACGATTGAGTTTGATGATGGTGCGACCGGGGTTGGGGCACCAATGTTACAGGAATGGGTTCTGGGGAACCCAACCTGAGCCGTTCGGCTCACTAATGGAGGTGGCTGCGTAGCCATCGGAGGGAGAGCGGAATAGGATGAGTGTACGGAAGTACCACCTGTGTGTTGGCCAACGGTAACTTGGCGCTCCTGGGAGCGTACCGGCAGCGAGTATGGTGTGGGCTCCTTGAGGGAGCCACCTGGCTGTCTGCTAACGGGGACTTGGCGCTCCTGGGAGCGTGCCGGTAGCGGGTATGCTGGGAGTGTTTGGCTAGCGGTAACTTGGCGCTCGATGGAGCATACCGGTAGTGAGGGATACTGGGACTCCCAAAGGGAGTCACCCAGTTGGTGGCTATCGGTGACTTGGCGCTCATTGGAGCGTACCGGTAGCGGGAGTTGTTTGGGAAAGCGGGCTGGTGGACCAGTGCACGGTAGAGGGTGACCGTGGGAAGTGGGACCCGCGGGTGCGTGGCCAGGCATCCTGGAGCTGCCTGGACCATATCCTTCTCCTGAGGAGGTGGGATAGGCTACAGTTCCTGATAGGGAACTTCTGGTTGGATGGGAGTAACCACTCAACCACCCGGTGGACTGGTGGGAGTGGGCAGCAGGAGGTTGGGCGTGGGAATGCCCTCCTCGTTGCGGTTTTGTCATGGAAAGGAGGAATAGGGAGGTGGACATGGTTCCAAGGTTACAGGTTGAGTTTACAGTGGTGGCACAATGGTGAAGACGTTACAATTGCGGTACAAGGTTTTTGGGTTATGTATTCGATAGTGAGAAAGCATTTTTCGGCATCTGCCTTACACATCATATGACTTCTAACTATCTAATATAAAAGTCACAATGGTCAAGAGAAGTCCCTTGAAACTCAACAAATTCCCCAGCCAGCACCAAAACCCAGTGGGAAAGCTTGGCATGGGGTTTGACAGCGAAATAAAGGTGCAGGGACCAAGGGTTTGATTGTTCATAGTCACGGACCATAAGATTCTAGGTCCATTCCTATAACACTCGGGCTCAGGTAAAGGGTTCTTCACTCTTTACCCTCACCCTGATGTTGAATCATAAGCTCCATACAGCCTAGATCTCGACATTCTGAGGATTGAGTCGACCCAGGCCAGCACCCCAACTGGCCTTACAATAAATCACAGCCATCAGTTGATTTTGCTAAATCTCCCAAGTAGCTGATACAAGGTCACCTTGAGCTTGAGCCAGATCCATGCCACCTCCGTGAACCATGAAGAGACATACCACCACGTCTTTGTCTTCCAGAGTACAGCCTGAAGCAGCAAGATTTCACATATAAAAAGGTGGATATTTTCAACATTCTGAAGAGTTTGTTCCTTACAAGCAAAAGCCAGCTTTTGAACCCAATTGTCATATCCATCCATGGCCATCGACCTCCGGACCCTCCGATCTCTCCGGACTACCTCCACTCCTTCTTCACTAACCTCGGAGCTCCCGTATTCCACAATCACCTTGGTATCCCTCGATGGTCACCACCCCCTCTTTTCAATTTATTACCTACACCTCCCTAAGTACAGAGCCCTGAAGGCTTCTGGACAGCTCCGACGTCCGCTAGCACACTCCCACCTCCGCTGGGCAATACACTCGCTTGCCCTGCAAGTCCACCTTTCGGGCCTATCCCTCCTTTCCGTTTCTGGGTTATCGCCTACCATCCCGCTAACCCCATAACCCGACTTGTCGGTAATATTCAATCGGCTAATGTTTAACTCCGTTAGCTCCACTCCACTCGGCCCCGCCATTTACGGGCCCGCCCTCATTGTAACTATATATACTCAACTTGTACATAGGTTACACCTCAGTAATAAAATCGACTAGAGTTTACCCCCTTTTAGTTCTGGTTGCCAGTTAGTAAGTTAGGGCATGGACATGTTACTTGGCACAGCACTCCTGGCATAAGTCGCTGAGGCCAAAGCCCTCTGCCACAGAGACATTCCTTCGTCTCGATCTGGTCTCTGACAGTATTTTATTACTCCCTGACTAGTACACATCTTGTATGGCACCAAAAGCCCCCCGCACTCATTCGCAACTATGCACATTAGTTCCCAACTCTGCCTCACCATCCCCAGAACCCTCACAGCCTGGTCCTAGTCGATTGGTGAGAAACCCAGTTGAGTTTCGCAGCTTTTCTAATCTAGAAACTCCTCTCCTGTCGACTCCGATCATGCGTCCTGTTAGGAATCGATCACCAGTTGCAGATTCCGATTTCGGAGACACCACGGAACAACCCATAGACCCCATTCACTTCTTTGGACTCGGTTCCGAGGTCCCCAACTTCATTGATCCTCCTCCTGCTGATCCTCCCATCCCCACTGTCCCAACCGCTGACGATGCTGAACCCATCCCCAATGTGGCTATTGCACAACTAGCCCAAGCCATCGCCAGTTTGGCTTGTCACACCGAACGTCCACCACGTCCACCATCCTCCGCTCTCCGGACCAAGGTCTGTGAGCCTGAACAGTTTGACAGAAAAGATCCCCGAGAACTCCGAGTATTTCTGGTCCAATGCAAACTGAATTTCCAGGACCATCCCCTCGCTTTTGCTAGCAACTGTGCCAAGGTCATCTTCACGCAGTCCTACCTCAAGGGAATGGCCCTCGATTGGTTCAAGCCAAATGAACTTCGGTCCTCACAATCCTGTGGGCGATGCCGAAGTTCAACTAATGACCCTGGACATGAAGGATGGGCACCACATCAATAAGTACGTCGTCGAGTTCAACCGACACACCTCTCAACTTCATGGTTACGGAGAAGCCATGCTTCGTCGTTTTTTCTATAACGGATTGCCAGAACGTATCAAGGATGATATTGCCAGAGTAGGTAAACCTTCTACTCTTTCGGAACTTCGCACCTTGTCACAAACTTTCGATGTGCGCTATTGGGAGCATAAATCCGAAGTGACATGTCACGCGAAACCCTCCTCCTCTAACGTTTTCAACAAGTCCACCACCGCTTCTCGTTCCGACCCCATTCCTTCCTCCTCCTCTTTCAACTCTGCTTCTGGTAGCAAGCCTCTGAAGGACAATAAGAAGTCCGAGGCCAGCTCTGCTAAACCGGACCTTTCATCAAAACTCGGAGACAACGGCAAGCTCACGCCACAAGAGTGTAAGCGTCGTCTCAACAAGAAACTTTGTATGTTCTGCAGTCAGTCTGGCCACATGGTCAAGGACTGTCCCAAGTCTTCTTCTCGCGCATCTAAGGCCCATTCGGCCCAGACTGAGGAGCAAGGATCTGCTTCTGCAGAAGCAAAAAATTAGTCTGCACCCCTGTGGACTCCACACAGACTGGGGGTTGCGATTCTTCCCTCCGTGCACTCAAAGAAGTGCGTTTAAATGCGTCTTCCATCTCCGACTTATCCTCCCTCCATATTCCTGTTTTGTTTTCTCTTTCAAATGGTCTATTTTCTCCTCTCAATGTTGACCCTTCGGTTAATGTTCTACCCATTGTAGATAGTGTTGCTGATGTACCACTCTCTCCTCTGCCCCCTCCGACTACTTCCATAGATCAATCCACCTCTTTCTGTTTCTCTTCTTTCTCTTCTCCTCCATCCAATGATAGGACACATAATAAACTCTTCCACACCTATGAGAACGTACCCACACTCATAGACTCTGGGTCTTCAGACTGCTTCATCGATGACACATTCATAAAGAAGTTGGCCTTGAAGACATATCAGATAAAACCCCTACAACTATGCCTATTCAATGGTAGCACCAACTCAATCATAACCCGTGCCGTTGATATTCCCCTCCGCTTCGCTTCCAGAAACATCACCCCCACAACTTTCTTTGTCACATCTGTTAGAACTGGGCGAGGGCAGACGATTCCGGAGGGGAACTGGAGACTTAGCAAGGAGGGACCTTGGCCTCAGCGACTCAAGCGGAGTGCTGTGCCATTGCTGTTTGTCCATTTGGTCCTTAATTTCATAGGAGGCAAGCAGGAAGTCTCTAGGGGGCATTTCAGGTCGATTTTAGACTAAGGCCTAAAACAAGTATGTACAGGCGCCGATATATATAATGGGAGGGTGAAAGCACAAGGAAACAAAGGGGATCCAAATCGGAATGAAGGCATCCGAATGGGAACAAAGGGAAGACCAAAGCGGAGCGGTACTGAAGGTCATAAGGCAGAACCTGTGGTACGTCCGAAAGGAGGTAAGGAGGGCGAGGCCCAGTGGGGCAGGAGGATGAGGGGAAGTGGGGATGATGACTAACTGGCTAGAATGGGAAGAAGCAGCAGTCCAAATAGGGATGAGGGGAAAATGCGAGAGATACATTACAAGCGGTGAAAGTGCCGAAGGTGATCCGTGGAGCTTGGAGGTTGCGGAGGTTGCGGAGGTTACGGAGGTTACGGAGGCAGGGTTGAAAGTCCAAGGAATATTGGCAATGGTGTTTACGTAGTATGAGGTCACCAATGCAATTGTAAGGTCGGTTGAGGTTCCGACCTTGGTGTTGACTCCTACTATCCTCAAGCTGTCAGGAATTAGGCAGTATAGAGCTGTAATTTCGACAGGGGAGGAGAAGAGTGAAAACCTGTTTCACCCTTCCCCGCAATTTATATACATTGTTTACATCGAGAAATAAAGAGTAATAAACAATGAAAGAAAGAAAGCGTGCACAGCACGCATCACCACACATCCATTCCCTACAGCAATGGACTAAGGCCAAGGTGGAGTCAAAGTCCGAGGTAGGAGCTATGATGGAGGCTCGGAGCAAAGGTACGAGCGGTGTCTGAGTACGAAGTACGGGACAGCGGCAGAAGGTCATAACTTGGCAGGGGGTCAATGGAAGAGGGGCCAGAGGGGAGAGAGAGGAAGGAGGAAGGAGGAAAGGTGTGGAGGAGAGGAAAAGGTGTCAGGTCTGAAGGTGAGTATCGGAGCAGACGGGAGAAGAGTAGGAGGGTGATGGAAGGGTGGAGGTATTGTGGGGAGGAAGCGGAGGAGTGGGAGGAGGAGTAGGAGGAGGGTGGTGAGAGGAGTGGTGTTCGGTCCGAGGTGAGTATCGGAGCGGACAGAGATAGGACAGGAGAGGGATGGAGGAGTGGAGGTGGCGTGGGGGGTGAGAGGAGGTGTGGTGTCAGGACCGAAGGTGAATATCGGAACGGACAGCGGTAGGGTAGGACTCCAGAGGTGGTGAAGGAGGAGGTCTGGGAGTCGGGTCGGGATCAGATATGCACAGATATGACAACATCGCTGGATGGATCATGTTCCCTAGTCCTAGGACACAACTGGCTTACCCGCTACAATCCGTTGATTGACTGGGTCTCAAGCAGTATTACGTTCCGAACTTCCGAACCTACCAAGACAGTTACTCCAAGCTCTCCCCCGTCTTCTCCGGTACCATTGCTGTCATCCAGCGTCCAACCATCTGGTGTTCTGCCAGCACCTCGGTCACAGGCTCCCATTCCTCCGTTACCATCTATCAAGTTCGTCAGCTGTTCTGCATTCGCGAAGGCTTGTCGACTTGAAGGATCGGTATCCTTCAGCCTAACCATCCCTTCTGAGGACAGCCGCTTGAGGGCTGCCTCATCCCACACTGATTCCATTGACCTCTTGGCCGTTCCGAAGGAGTATCACGAGTTCGCAGATGTGTTCAGTAAGAGCAAAGCCTCGACGCTGGCACTGCCAAGGGGTGTTGATTCGGCCATTGCCGAACCCCAGGTTG